CTCCGAGATGACTCAGGGTTGACTCAAGGGTGAAAAACTGTCCCCCTTTTCAGTTGTGACTTTCAACAAGCCGGTAAATAAATGGTTGTAAGTGAAAGATTATCCGTAGACGAGATAAAAGTTAGCGGAGTGACAAATCCACCTGGATTCATATCGCTCGCTAAATCACAGTCTGGTTCATATTTTTTTGGCTTGGGGCAATTGTGGTTAGTGGTGTGTAAGCCAGGCCTTTGTGGTTTTTTTCTGATGCTTGCCCTCGCTGGTTCTCAATGATGAGATTATTACCGCCCCAGTCTGATATCCTGTGACTGAGTGGTTCCTCTGATGAATTAAAGCCGGGTCTGGGAGATTCTGCCACCTTTTCATGTTGCATTTCTTTTCTTTAATCTCTGACTTTTAACGCCATGCTGGCCATGTCATCTTTCTCCTTGCCACAGGTGGCTGCCAGGCTGTTTTTGCTGGACTCAACATGAGCTTGAAATCTGCTATTTCTCACAGCGAGAGGTGAGGGTCCCATTTCTAACACCAAGCGTAATATTTTTTTAAAAATAAAGTTTGCTTTTGTGGGGAAGAAGCTGTCAAGAACACGGATTGAAATCTCATTTTGTAAGACGGGAATGCATCTAGTGAAAAGAAGTGAGTGGCGTAGGGTTCCAATATTTTGAGGGGCTGCCCCAAAAGGTGCATGTGTCAAACTATTGTCCAGAGCACCGGAAGGCAGGACGAGAAGCAACGGGTGGAAACTAATCAAGGAGCGAAGCGGCCTAGAAATAAGGAGACATTTCTTGACAATCAGTGGAACAACTTGCTTCCAGAAGTTGTGAATGCTCCAACACAAGTTTTTAATAAGATTGGACAACTATTTTGTCTGAAATGGCATAGGGTCTCTTCCTTGAACAGTGGGTTGGACTAGACTAGTTAAATCTAGGCTAGATTTAAACTTCCAATTCCATTATTCTTGGTTTCTGGTGCATCATCCCCTCCTTAGTTCAAATTTTGCCGTCTTTGTGCTCCAAAAATCATATTTGTTCTCCTTTGGCTCTTGAGATTCAACCTGTGTTGTCATTTACAGATTATTTCAGCAATTCCTCAATTTTCGATCTATGTTTTTTTCTGTCTCCATAAAAGCAGGCTTAAGTGGTTACCTTGAAGACGTTTGAGAAGAATAACACCAGCTGTGAATCAAGAATGTTTGTGTGCTTCAATGGTGGAATAATGAAACGCCGAAATGGCTCCTTGCAATATCCCGCCTTCAAATACCTGTAACATCTGAAATTCAAGTCTAGCTGGAGATATTTTTACTAGCTTTTCCAAAAGAATATGCAGCACAGAGATGTGTGTTTTGGGATTCTCTCTTTTAAAAACTATTATAACTTGAAGAGTTTGCTGTTACTTAGAAACTGAATGAAAGTTTTTTGGGGGGATATTCTATCTTATAATATTTAATATATCTTATATATTAAGAAGCTGGCACTCAATCCAGACAAGACTGAGTGGGTATTGATGCTGCCCCCCAAGAACGGACGAGATATTCCATCTCTCAGCCTGGGAACTCTTCACCCCTCAGAGAGGGTCCGCAACTTGGGTGTCGTCCTGGATTCTCAGCTGACATTAGAATACCACCTGTCGGCTGTGACC